ACCTCTAGGACTTGCCAATAGGGTAGCTCCCAAAAGATGGACTTCTTCTTCCACATGGGTGCATGTCCATTAGCATCTTTGGGAATGATTCACCGCCTTGTCCCTTTCCAAATACTACTTTCACATTCTTGACCATTGCAGTACATCTTCCCGGTTCGGTTATGAGGCTTCTTCCGTGGTCCGCTTACCTTTAAAATGCTTCCCTTTTTTCTTACTTGGTGATTCAAAGGAAGGAATCGACGATGGCCAAGGTACACGACCTTTCGACATCTTTTTCAAATATATACCGTCAAGGTCATCAAAACAATGTGTGCATGCATTATATCCTTTGTTTGTCCGACCAAAGATTACTTAAAGCAGGCCAATCATTGATGGTTACGAACAACATTGCTCGTAGGTCAAAGTGTTCTTGTTTGTACTCATCCTGCACATCGCACACCTGGTTTGTTCCATAAAACTAGAAGTTCTTCAACTAATGGCTTCAGATATACATCAATATCGTTGCCGGTTGCCTCGGACCTTGGATGAGGATCGGCATCATAATGAACTTCCGCTTCATGCATAACCATGGAGGAAGGTTGTAGATACATAGAGTAATCGCCAAGTGCTATGACTAGTGCTCTGCTGTCCAAAAGGATTCATACCATCTGTATTTAAGGCGAACCTTAAGTTTCTAGCCTCATTTGCAAACTCTGAAAATTCTCTCGTCTATCGCTCTCCACGGGACCCATCACCGGGGTGTCTCAAAGATATTGTCTATCTTACGGTCTTCTTTATACCACCGCAACAACTTTGCGTGGTCTTTATTTCTGAACAACGCGTTTTAAGCGTGGTATTATAGGAGCATACCACATAACCTTGGCAGGATTTTCTTTCTAGGACGTTGTTCACCCTCGGCGTCATCGGGATCATCGCGCCTGATCTTATACCGCGATGCTTTACATACCGGGCATTCATCCAAATTCTCGTATTCATTGCCATGGTAGAGGATACATCATTAGGACATGCATGTATCTTCCGGATTTTTAATCCCAAAGGGCGCATAACCTTTTTTGCTTCGCATGCGTAGTGGTGGGCAATTCATTTGGCTTCAAAGCATCTTCTTTATAAGGTTTAATAAATTCCCAAATGCCTTATCGGATACACCATTCTTTGCCTTCCACCGTAGCAATTCCAAAGTGTTGTACCCACTTTTTTTGCCCTCTTCGACCGTCGGGTATAGCAACTTCCTATGATCCTCAAGCATGCGCTCCAACTTAACTTTCTCTTTTCACTTTCCCATTCTTGTTGTGCATCACGAATGGCATCGCCAAGAGCATCACCGAGATCATCTTCTACCGCTACCTCTTCTTCATCTCCCCCATTGTAGTATCATCAAAGGCACCATACCGAGCAATAATGTCATCAATGTCTAAATCTTCTCCTTCACCTTCTTCCATCATGACCCCTCTTTCTCCATGCTTAGTCCAACATATATAGTTTGACATGAAACCCGACTTAAGCAAATGTGAATGAAGACTCATTGAGCTTGAATATTCCTTTAAATTCTTACATATGGCACATGGACAAAGATATGAAACCATCCCGCTTATTTGCCTCGGCCACACCTAAGAAATAGTGCAAGCCCTCTATAAAGTCTTGGGAGCGGCGATCGGCATTGTATATCCAATGGCGTGACATAATCAGTATTACCGACAAATTATGAAAACCTTGAACATAATTAAGTATATTTATTACACAACATAAATGACACACACACGGTTGATTAATTAACTAAGCTCGCTACAACGTAAGCAATCCCAACTATCACTAAACAAACTAAAACTACAATGCACTTCAAGAACATAATTATTTTGTGATCGTATAACTAAAAACAGACAAATCATTCTTCCATTGAATATCAATAAGCTTCTCCTGCTGGCTCATTTGCCTCATCGGTGCACCGCTACCTCAAGCGCACCCAAATTACTGCACGTATGTAGCATAATCTTCCTCCCAGTACCAACCATCGCATCCATTGCCCTCCCACTGAAATTAAAGCCAAAAATATTTAGTCAAAATATTCAAGAAAAGCAGTCAATTAGCCATAATTATAAAATGCGTAAGAAACTCACATCGCGATCCGGGCACTTGTAGAAAACACGACCCTTGTTGGGTCCCCTGTCTCTTGACTCGGTACTCCATCATAATCTTCGCTTACACTTGCCGCAGATAATGAGAGGGAGTTCGCCCTCGATCGTTCGAACCGAACGAGAGGCCGAGGATCCATAAATAGATTGTCATCTACTTTCTATACTTATTTTTGCAAACTAGTGTAAATTTCATATTTTCAAATATCCATCAAATTATAGCTCAAAAACATGTTTCAATAAATAACCATCCGTATTAGTTGACCTTGCTTACGTGATCATCTCGGTGAGCATTTCTCCACCGGACGGCACCAGTGCTTGCCCAAGGAAGAGCTCCGATTCTACGAGAAAGGGAACACGGTCTTCCACGACCGCTGCCGCTCTCCTCGTGAGAATCAAAGCTCCTCCTTGACGTCCGCTTACCGCTTCGGCAAAGAACATGCTTGCCGAAATAACACGGTCCGCAAGTTCAACTAGTACGGATTTTCTACAATTTTCTAACAATTTTCTAAGTTTTTCATTTCATGGAAAAATTAATTCTAAGATCACGTAAGCCACCGGGGACGAGAATGGCGCGCGCTCCAAATGAGACGAAAGCGAGGCGTGATTTTGATGAACTAATTTAACTTTTGTTTATCCAAACATATATGCAAATCATCATGTGATTTTGAGCTAAAAATGACATATAAAATCATAATAAAGTCCAACATATAAAGTTACACATGCATCTACATCGCAAAATGAGATAAGCTACTGATAAAACATAAGAGGATTAAGTTTGTTACCTCCAAAATCGAAGAGCAACACCAATGGAGGGGGAGAGTGCAAGAACAACAGCAAGCTGAAGAACAGAGGCAGTGAGTTTGAATAATGGAATGGCTCGGGCTCGGGGAGGAAGAATTGAGCAGAATTATAGGCCGGGATAATTAGTCCCGGTTAGGCGTCCAAACCGGGACTAAAGATTAATCTTTATTCCCGGGGCATAACCCAAACCGGAACTAAAAGCTTTAGTCCCGGCTGGTATTACCAACCGGGACTAATGGTAAACCTTTAGCCTTTAGTCCCGGTTGGTAATACCAGCCGGGACTAAAGATCCCTGCCCCGCGGACGACCGTTGGGCAGGGACCTTTAGTCCCGGGGGTAAAAAATGCCGAGGCTAATGCTAAATTGGGACATCGTTCTAAAGTCTGTTCTCTAGTAGTGGAATTGGACGTAAAGCATTTCCCTAACTTGTTCAACTCGTCAAAAGCATAACGCTGTGGACCTGTGGTAGGCAGGCGAGGTGAGAAGTGAGAACAACCACCAGCCTTTTCTACACATCTTGCATTGTTGTTTGTTTGTTCTACCTAATGTCCTAATAATGTTTAACAGATCAGAGGAGGACCCCGTACGTGGTGTATAAAAAAACTCTTGTGCTGATGTGAATATGTGATCATCGTAGCTCTGAAACCAACCAGCAGCTTAACTATATGTGCATGCAGACGCACAGCGCTCGCTTGAGCATCTCCTGCATGTTTGACAGTTTGAGCTCAAGAGATGCATGTGTCAATGTCATCCAAGAAGGTGAGCTAACCAGAGAAAATAATGTATTGTTACATGCAATCGGCCGGTGTCAACCTCGATCGCCGCAGCTGTACGTGCGTGGCCTATAAATTGGCATGCATTACCCATGTCTTTGCATCACAGGAGCTTCAGTACGTGCTCAGTCTCTTGCTAGCAGCTGCTACTAGCTAGTAAGGTGAGAACATCAAGAATCGAACACCCATGGCGGCCTCTGCATCGGACCTCCTCACCACGGCGGCGCTCGTCGTGGCGCTCATGCTCACCGGCACGACGACCCACGCGGCGCGCTATCTCGCCGACACAACCCCGGCGGCCGCGCCCGCCGCCGTCGTCCCAGGCATCCCCGCCGTGCCGAAGCCGCCCGTCGTGCCCACTGTGCCTGGGGTGGGCGCCCTGCCACCGATGCCCGCCGTGCCGACGACGGTGCCTGCGGTGGGCACCGTCCCATCGATCCCCGCGGTGCCGGCAGTCGTCCCTGCGAAGACGACCTTGCCGCCCATGCAATCGGTGCCAGCGGTCCCTGCGGCGACCTTGCCGCCGATGCCCAAGGTGCCCGCCGTGCCGAACGCCGCCGCGTTGCCTCCGATGCCGGCCGTGCCGAAGGTTACCCTGCCACCGATGCCCAAGGTGACACTGCCGCCGATTCCCTCCATCCCCGGTGTGCCGACGCCGTTCTTGGCGCCATCTCCTTCAGCGTGAAGCGCTTGTGCGGCATCTGCCGATGTCTGAATTCTTGTGGATGATTGGGTCATTCGATGGTGTGTTTAATTTAATTTGCTGGACATGCTGTTCTTCGATGAGCAGATATGATTATATACTTGTTTATGTATTCTGTTGTATACATGAGTGTATTAGTTGATGTATTCTGTTGTATACATATATATATCATCGCAATTTTCACATACTCATTTTTTATTTTCCATATTTTTTAGAAAAGAGAATGTATTAATATCCCAGTTTCTGCATCGTCCAATGTATATGGCTGTCCTTATTACAATCAAGAGGAAACGGTCTAGGGAATCTCAAAAACAAAGTTTTAAGCCATAATAACATCAAAGAAAGTTTCTAAAACCACAACTAAAAAGCAAGCCTATTGCTAAATCTCCAGCCATGTCTTGCAAACACCTCCATTGCGACTGTCTCAATAGTCGTACATCACATCTTCATCATATGGCGATCATCCTCCTTCAGTAGTAGGGACTAGGACCTGGTTCAGTAAATCACCCTAAAGATAACCTTGAGTTTCCTCGAGATTCTTCACAACAACTCTTTTTTCTGCCTTCTCAAGAGACTCTACATCAGCCACGTTCACATTCCACTTGCTACGCTGCACTGGGTAAGCTCTCCATCTGACAGAACCGCCATTGTCATGACGCTCCCTAGTTCTTTTTTTGACCCACCATCGGCTGACACTCCGGCTTCTATCATGGTATCAAGAAGAGCCCCATGGTGTTGAGCACCATCTGCGATCCCTCCTTCTGTTGACCCATCGGACTGCCTCACTGAAACCTCCACTTGTTCCTCATTCATGAAAAACGGCTTCTCGAAATTTTTCAATGAATCCAGAGCTGCACCTGCGGTCTGTACCACCAGCCCCTTTGTGGGCTGCAGCGTTTGGCCCACGGCGCTGTCTGGAGTCAATTCCTCCTGCTGTAGCTTCGGCTGGTTCACCATGATCTGCTTCCTGCCCGACCTAACCGGTTGCGAAGGCCGCTGCAGCAAGCGTGCTGGCGCCGACGATGTCCCGAAAGAGCTTGAAGCTGCCGGTGATGCTGCACTCCTTACATTCACCGAGTGACCCATTTTCACTCACACAAAATCACGTGCCACCTCACTAATTTCATTCTCCTCGCCTAGCAAATCATCCTCCGAAAAATCTATGTCCATCTGTGCCTCAGGAGCATTAACTTGTTTTCCGTTTATGCCGCTAATCCCAGCAATTCCTACACTTGCATCTGAAATAACATTGCCTCCATTATTTTGTGTCTCCCTCATCTCAGTGTCCTTTGCTGCCCCATTTCCAAGATCTTCATTCCCAGCATTCTGGGTGTTCCAAATGCTCCGGAGCGCAATATTTAGCAGATAAGGTTCAACCTCAAAAATCAACAAGAAGTATCTATTGCCAATGATGACGTCTAGCTTGGTCGGAATTGCTTCGGGTTCTAGCACTGCCACTGCAAACCTCCCAAAGATGCTCGCTCTGGTAGTCACCATATCTACATCCTGGGTGACACCAAAAAGAGTTCCTAGTGCCCACAGAATAACATATTCCTTTAGAATTGTTGGTAGGTTCATAACTCGCATCCAGACCACTAGTAGAGCATGTCCAAAATACTCTTCCTCTTCCTTAAATTCTTGAAACTTGAGAGTCACTCCTTTCTTCATTTCTGCATTGAACCTCGTCATCTTTGTAAGATCTTCTTTTGTAGGAAAAAGAACCTTGAATTCAAAACCACTGTGCCATTTCACTTCCCAAGCGAAAGTGTCAGAAACCAACACACGTAAAAATGCAGCAACATCCTCCTCTGTTAGGTTTTTGCCAGAAGTCGAGATTAGAGCCATTCTAGAATCTCTCTTTGTTGGCTAGATTGGTGCATGAGGAATATGAAAACCGACAAGTGCATCGGCAGCCTGACCAACCAATTGGGCTACTGGTTTTGATTGCTTGAGAATCGGGGCTTGAGGAGCCTGAGATATGTGCCGCTGCTAATTTATTGGCGGCACCTGAGGGGCAGTCGGCACATGTTGAGGCACATGCTGTTGCGGGACATGGTGCGGCACATGCTACGGCATATGTTGTTGTGGTGGCCCTTGAGGCGGCATCTACTACCGTTGATCGCTGCGACCCTTTCGGTACCCGTTGTTCCATCCATGAGCTCCATTGCCTACGTATCGTCCTCTTCGTCCCCGCTCATACTCCCACCCGGGGCCATAATTTGGCGGATGAACCCCGAGATTAGGGTTGAAGCGAGGACCGTTGAAGTGCACGCAGTCGTCGTTGTGGTGGTTGTAGCCGTAACCGGCGCCGTAGCCATGGCAACCGCCGCGCGCACCGCCACCACCACCACCACCACCTATGCGTCCTCCACCACGCCCAGCTCCATATCCCCTTCCTCCGCCGCCACCACCATTAGTGTCGATGCCTCCATTCCCCACACCACCCGCGCCCGCTGCCGCCATGCCCGCACGCAAAACTTGGACGTACGATGGCGAAACCGAGTAGGGAGTGGCGGCTAGGTTTTTTTTGTTGATGGCATTGAGATCACAAGTGCTGAGTAGGAAATGCTTCGCCAGTTTTCCACCGCGGCACTACCTGCGTCCGAGCCCGATCAGTGCGCAAGGCCCACGTTGGACCTCGTCAGAAGACCCACCCGTCCCTGCGACTAACTCAGATTGGGAGAGCAACGCAGAAGCCAGATCAGATCCATTTCGAATTTGAACCATAGCTCGCTGGCCATCGAGGGTCTCTAGTGTTTCCCACATCACTGGCGATGGTGAAGACCGTAGGGCCTTGGCGAGAGTGCCTCCTGTCATCTGCTATCTACCGCGCTTGTCCTTAACCTTGCTGTTTACACCAAAATTTGGAAGAAGAGTTGCAGGGACTCGAAAGCTCCCAAAATCATATCGTCAAGGAATCAATTGCGTGCAGATCGGAACCAGCTGATTCGAATGCCAAAAACTATAATCGGCTTTCTCCAGATATTGCCAGCGGATAACGACGAAGGCTACGATTCAGCGCCAGGACGAAACATGTAGGACTCTGCAAAAAGGGAAAGATTAGAGTCCAAGTTATCTTAAATTAGGAATGTTTTCTTTAGAGTCAAAATTTGTGATGAGTCGTGCTTAGATAGGAGTCGTGCGCAGGTCCCGTGTATAAATAACAAACCCCGGCTATTGTAAAAAACAACCAATCAATCCAATGTACAAGTTATTTACTTTTTTGGCTCCGGCCACCCCTTAGGAGTAGGAGTAGAGTAGATCTCGGCGAGTTCTTCAACAAGTACGGCTACATCGATCCGGTCGACCTCCACTGCTTGTTGTAAGTACCGTCATGGCTTATACCTCTATTCGTACGGATGCATCGATCCGGTCGACCTCCACTGCGACTCTGGTATAAGTTAGTTATCGATTCTTGCCTAGTTCAAGTACGGTTGCATCGATCCGGTCGACCCCCACTGCATGAACTAGATTAAGATCAAGTTATCGGCTCTACCTTAGGATGACAGTCTTTGATAGATTCATTAAGTTACTGATATTGCTTATTGCTTTCATTATTTATCTAATTACAACAATATCATTCTGCCCGATTAGGATTGATCTAGATTGGCCTTATATCTTGTTTAGTCCATCGTTTGCTAACCTTAAATTGATCTAATATACACCTTAAACGATGAGTTATGTTTTATCGGTTGTTTTATGTCAATCATGATCGTGCATATCGTGCGGTTAAGGCGTGTTGCATCTTGAGTAGATTAATTGGCTAGCGAGAACCGTTCCATGGCCCGTTATCACGGCCTGTGTGATTTTGCCTTACATCCCACTGTTAGCACCGTGGAGTGGGACCGTTATCTGGTAGATCTATTCCTAATAAGGCATGACTTTGGGTCCGTTTGGTTGGGCTTTTGGCTTTGACTTTTGGCTCCAAAAGCCCAACCAAAGAGACTGTTTTTGGAGGCTTCTTTTTCAGAAGCAGCTGCTTTTCCGTAGTATATTTTTGAAAGCTGGTTTGAGCCTGCTTTTGGCCTTTGACTTTCTGCTTTTTGAAATTGGTGGAATAAAAAGCTCTTCCATAGTTGTTTCAAGAGAGATAAAGATAGAAGGTATATTTTATACTTGTTTAACTAAATAGCTTTCAGCTTTTCTACCGCTCACAGCCCACAGCAGCTTTTCCACAGCCCACAACAGGTTTTTCTCACAGCCACAGCTCAACCAAACACACCCTTTAACTGTGCGATATGCCTGAATCGGCTGTTTTAGCCGATATCGAGCGCTTTCATGAACAGTTCGCATCATGATACCGTTGAAGTAAAGATAGGTTGAAAGATATGTTAGCCCTATGATCTTATTATTGTATTACGGTCTGCATGATTCTGCCTCATGCTCCACTGATATTAGTAATGAGTTAGGGTCATCAAATCTATTGTTATTTCTATGACCTGCATAATTCTGCCTCATGCTCTACTGGTCATAGTGATGGATGAGATCTAACATGTCCATTAGATTTATCTTTATTAAACGGTTAAGTGATGTTGAATTGTTTCTTTATATAAAAAGGGGTTCAGTTACTTATAATCATTGGATCAGTACAAACCAATCATTATTGACATCTTATTGTCATTGATTAATATATGTTCGATCAATGATATTTGCCCTGAATGATAACTGATTCTTCTTATACAACCCAATAAGCTTTAATCGATTTATTCTCATGAATATGCTGGAATCGACTATTTAGTCGATCTCCTTTTATATCGGCTCTCATAGCTGTATATTCGGGACTGTCTGGCAACACCGGCAAGTTCTGCCCTTAATTACTGATGAACTTTCTTTTCTTGTCAATTATAGGGTCAAATTGAGTGGCACGTCTCGGGAGGAGTGCGCAGGATCGACCACCCTTGCGTTGAAGCTAGGCGGATCTGCTCCATCGAGCGGACTCTTCCGGCTTGCTGCGTGTGTCCTCGGCACGGGACGAAAATTCTGTGTCGACACGCGCAATCACCGAGGGTCATCGCCGGCGACTCCCTTGGCCGCGGCAGCTTGCCCGGCCATGGTTTCATGGTCGTCCGACGAACATCTATCAAGGCTTTCATGATATTACGCACAAGCTCAACCTTCATGTTCGTCGGCACCGGAGTTATTGTTTCTTCTACCCGTCGGCGAACCGACGAGTCCTGCAGCGCTAACTCCGCCTCATACAATTGATCTTTGGTGAAACCATGGACGGCTGCATGTCGTACCAAATCCGGCGTATAAGGCGACTGAGATGCGATCTCTTCATCGGAATCGTCGTCACCCGTCAACGCCTAGAACTTGGATTTTACTCCTATGGGACGGAGATCCACCACAGGATCGGGTTTAATCAGGTCACCACGGTCACCGACGAATTTCCATCCGTCGTCCTTATCTACCATCCCATTTCCTTCTCCTGAATCCCCCAAAATGCTTACCTTAGCCTCGCTCACCTGCTCCACCGCTCGCCGGCGAAGATCCAGAACCACTAGGACACGAGGTCGCCGTTGGAGCGGTCTCCACTGCCCTCTCTCACTCATGCCAAGTTTTAATCGTGTTAGCATAATTGAGAAGGAAAGATGGTTCCGATCCCTATACTTCCAGAAGGCATGTGAAATCTGTCTTTCTACATAAACTATGCTCCAATGGTTTATAGGAAAAATGGACATCAACGCTTAGGGCGTCCTCAACAAGCAAAAGCAAAATCGCCGGCCGATAGAAATTAAAAAAAATTGTGAGCCCCACAGCGTAGGCAAGAGTGGGTCTCGGGCAGTAGTGAGAGTAGATTTATAGGGACCCGTGCGAGCTAGGCAAGGAACTCGTCGCTAGCTATTCAGTTTTTTATGTTCTCTTTCCTCCACGTCATGAAATAGCTAGCAAAAAGTACCTTGTTGGAGACGCCCTTAATAGAGATGTCAATTGAGAAGAGAAACTCCATGGTAATTATTTAATTTCACTATCTTATTTGGAGAAAAATGCCAGCACAGATGGATTTATAATTAATTAGGCATAAAAATGCCTAAGAAGATATGCCCCTATGGTTTCTCCAAACGCGCACACACTAGATAGCGGACCTAATTTCTCATTGCCCTCATAGGTGATGGCATTAGTGCCTAAAAACTTCCTTGCCACTTACAATAATATATATGCTGAAACATCTGCCTCCTCCGTTTTAAATTATAAGATATTTCGGCTTTTCTAGATACATATTTTTTATTACACACTTAGATACACACACTATGTCTAAATACATTGTAAAAATAATATATTTAAAAAAGTCAAAAACATCTTATAATTTGGAACGGAAGGAGTATTAAGCTTGTAAAATTGATTAACTTATTGTGCGCTCTATAGGTCAGACCAATTTTTCTATGTGTTTCCATCATATTTATATAATATTAACTTTTCTTATTTTGGAATAAACGCCCCCATATAATTGACAAGGTACAGAACTGAAGTGAAAAAAAAAATGAACTGATGGCCTGTCTAGAAAAAAATCTCAAAAAGGCTGTGCAGTTCTCCTAGTACTTATGCAACAAACAAGCAATATTTTAATTCCCAAAGAAGTGCTTTATGAAGCTTCTAGCGGCTGATTTGTTGTGAGAGAAAAACACAGTTTCGGCTAAAAAAACAAGCTGAAAAGTACGGATTATAAGAGAAGTGAACAGGGCCAAGCAGAGAAAGAGGGCATTTGTTTCAAAGAAAATAAAAAACTGGTTTATTCCGCCCCTTTCGACCTTTGAATTCCCTAATCTAGAGTAAAACAAAAAAAAGGAATACGAGTACCATTTAATTTTATTTTTCCTTGGCTCATAAGTAGTGCACCTTAAATA